GGGTCCGCGCGCCGTCCGGGGGCGGATGCCCACCGAGATGCGGGCACACCCGGCGCATGCGTTCTTCGGCCCGCCGCCCCGGCCGGGGGAGGGGTGGTCTGTCTCTGCTCCTCTTGCGGCTGGTCTCGTTCGCGCTCCGGCCGGACACCGCCGGCCTGCCCCCGGGCCCGGGCTGGTCGTCCCCGGGACGCATTCGCGCGCACCTGGGGAGAGGGGGATGATCCCCCCCCCGCCCCCCGTGGCGGGCCGGCGTCTGCCCCGGGATTGGTGCACCGGACGGCGGTTTGGGGCATCGCGACACCCCCCCTCCGGGGATGCCGGCGGCGGTGTGCTGGGCTGACCGCCGGGCATCGGCCGCCAGCCGGTCACACCCGCGTCCGCTCGCCGACCTGCAGCTTGCCCAGGTCGCCCGAGCCGGCACAGGGAGGCCGCCCCCGCTACTGGGGAAGGGGCGCCGGGGGATCGTTCCTGCGCCCCCTCTGGGAATTCCGACCTCTACCGGCCCCCGTTCCGCCGGCCTGCTGACAATGGACGCGGTGGGATCGACACGGACGGCGAGAGGGCGGCCCCCCCCCCCCCCCCCCCCCCCCGTGCCCCCGCCCCGCTCCCCCCCCGCCCGCCCCCACCCACCCCGCCCCCCACCCCCCACCCCCCCACCCCGCCCCCCCCACACCCCCCCCCCCCCCCCCGCCCCCTCGCCCCGGCTCCCCGCCCCTCTGCATAGATGCATGCTCTGCCGGGACACACACTTACAGAGCCGGGGGGCAGGTGCCCTCGCCGGTCTGCAGGAAGTGGCGCAGGCAGGGGTGCACAGCGAGGAGCTCACCCGCATGGGCGGCGGCACGGGCACACTGCTCCAGCAGCGGGACATTGATGTTCTCCAGGGTGTCGCATGGCAGGTGGTAGCAGGCATCATGCGGGGCATTGGCATCACCGCCGAAGATGGTGCGCTCGGCCTCGGTCTTCAGGCCGCTGGCGCCGGTGGCCATACCGCTGGACGGGACGCCGGCCTCGATGAAGGGCAGGTAGTCCGACCCGCCCTGCATGTGGGTGAAGCTGTAGGGGGCCTTGGCAATGTCCACGAAGAAGGACTCCAGCTGCTGCTGCACGCGGGTGCTGGCGTTCTGCACATCGAGCGGGATGTTGGCGTTGACGTCGGTGCCATTGTGAATGTAGGGCACGCCGTTCGGAGAGCCGAGCATATCAAAGTTCATGTAGGCGGCGATCTTGGCGATGTCGCCGGACTCCTGCATGGTGCGCACATAGTGGCGAGCACCCAGGAGACCGATCTCCTCGGCGGCCCACCAGGCAAAGCGGACCGGGTTGACGGCGCGCTTGTGGGTGCGGTTGCGGAAGTACTGGACGGCCACCTCCAGCAGGGCGGCCGAGCCGGACCCATTGTCATTCATGCCCGGGCCCTCGGGGACCGAGTCCAGATGCGCGCCGAGGACCACGACATTGGTGCTGTTGGTGGCGTCCGGCGAGTCGCAGAAGAGGTTCTCCGTGTCGGCCACGGTGAGCTTGGTGTTGGAGTAGACATTCATCCGGGGGGCCGGGCGGTCGGCATCGGCCGCGGCATCGGCCACCATGTTGCGCAGGCCGGCGCCCATGGAGTGGGAGATGGAGAAGACCGGGAGCTGGATCAGCTCGTCGCCCTCCTTCCAGGCGGTGAAGCGCACGCGGGCATTCTTCAGCGTGGTGCTGGTCTCGATGTTGTCCAGCAGCAGGGCCACCGTCGGGTCGTAGATGCCGCCGTTGTCCAGGGAAGCGATGTGCTGCACCAGCAGGGCCTTGTCAATGGGCTCGCAGGAGCCGCCATAGCGGGCCACAATGACCGCATTCGAGGTGGGCATGCCAATGTAATCGGCACCGGCGCAACCATAGTTGTCGGCCACAAAGACCTCGGCATTGTCGATGGTGATGGTGCCATTGCCACCGTAGCGCATGTTCAGGAAGTCGACATTGGCCTGGTAGTTGACGACGTGCGGCTGCACGAGGCCCAGGCGGCCGGGCTCCACGACATCGTGGATCGGCACCACGAGCTTCTGGGTGTAGAGAGTGCTGTGGATGGGTCGGCGGACCGGGGGGGGGGGCGGGAGAGGGGCGGGCGGGAAGCGTTAGCATAAGTCCATTGCCGGTGGGTGGCGGTGGCCGACGACGATGGGCCTGCGCCGGTGCCGGCGGCGTCTGGCCAGCCATCCGCGTGGTGTGTGCCCCCGCGCCTTGCCGCCCCTCCGGGCTGCTGGCGCAGGGTGTGCCTCACGGGCGGGGAGGGGGGGGGGGGGAGCGGGAGCCGGGAGAAGCATGTCGAGGGACGCACCACTCGGTGTTGTTGGCCAGGACCTCGCGCACGAACTTCAGCGACTCGCCGTAGTTGTTGAGGACCGAGCGGGAGTTGAGGCCGCCGATCTTGGCGGTGTCCAGCAGGCCGGACAGACGGCGCATGACGCCATCGGCCTGGACCTTGTAGGACAGGCTGCTCGGGTTGTTGCTCAGCAGCAGGATGAGGGTCACACCGGCACCGACGGCCAGCAGGAGAGCCAGCACCAGGCCGACAAAGAAGGCGGACTTCTTCTTGGTCGAGGCGGCGTCCTGGTTCTCAACATCCTGGATGCTGCCGGAAGTGGTGTCGTAGTCTGCTTGGCGTCGGTGGAGGGGGAAACCGGAGGAGGAGGCGGCAAGGGGGGCGAGAGGGAAGCAGGTGAGTGGCCATGGGGCGGCGGGCGTCTGTGCGTGCGCGCAAAAAAAAGAAAAAAAGAAAAAGAAGCCCCATCGAGATCGTGGCCACCGGCCCGACAGGGTGTGTGTGTCGAGGGGCGGAGGCAGACGCACGGCTCTGGCTGCCGGGAGCCAGGAGCGAGTCGCGATCGTCCATGGCGGGCGAGTTCCTTCAAGCGAGTGGCTGACGCGCGGCGGGGCGGCGAGGGAGGGACACTGCAAAAGAGGGAAGGGGGGGGGGGGGGGGGGGTAGAGGTGGCCGTTCAGAGGATGAAAGCCGATTCTCCAGGGGGTTGCCCCGGCGCCTGGGGCGCTCCGCCGTAACAGCGCGGATC